TTCTGTTCCGTTCTTTCTAATGCCGTTCTGTTCCACTCCATTCTGCTCTGCTCTGCTCAACTTTGTTCCGCTTTGTTTTGTTCCGCTCCACTCCGCTCTGCTCCATTTTGTTCTGTTCNAAAGTGAAAGGAAGGAGGGAAAGAGACGGGATGGAGGGAGGAGGGAAGGAGGAGGAGAGAAAGAGAATGAGGGAGTTAGAACGAAGGAGGGAGGGAGAAAGGAGGGAGGCAGGGAGGAGAAAGTTGTAGGGAGGAAGGAAGGAAGTAGGAGGGAGGGAGGGAGAGAGGAACTCCTTGAATAATCAGGACTATAACCTTAACTCCAATGCCAGCCCTCTCACCGTTTCTGCCCAGGGCACCAGGGGGAGTGGATGGCCAATGCATTTGAGTGGATGGCCAAATTTGGAAGCCCAGGCTGGGAAATGCCATCCCTCCATAGTGCCACCCCTAAACCAAGAGACCCCCTGGGCCCCTCTTCTCACTCCCCAGGCAGTTGTTTCTTCTGCCTTCAGCAAAGCCCCCCACCCCACCCCACCCCACCCACTCACCCACCCCGAGAGCTTTAGATGTTTAGCAAAGCTGCAGCTAGGATGCCAAAGGAGTTTCCAGCCATTTCTCTGGCCTCGTTTTGGCAGTATGAGATTCTCCCCACCCACCCACCACCCCGACCCCCGTGCTTCTCTCAGCTCATGCACTTCCTTGAGTTTTTTTTTTCCTTCCGGAAAACGGGATGGCTGGGAGCCCCCTACCAGACTGGGTCACATGGATCCCCTAAAAAAACCTTAAACCGTAGTCAGCTACTACTTTTATTATAAACTTGGTAAATAAATAAGTGAATTTGCAAGCCTGCCAAAGCGATGGACCTTCGACTCAACTGCTGTAAAGCATCACGCTTTTCCCAAGAACCCTGCCCGGTTCTTGTGAGTTGATTTGCATGCCTTTTATGCCAAGCGTGTAGCCCATGGAGGTGACTTCTGGCCCAACTCCCTCATTTGGCATTCTGTATTCTGCGTTTTGTGTTCTGCATTCTATATTCCGCATTCCATGTTCTGTATTTTACATTCTGCATTCTGCATGCTATATTCTGTATTCCACATCCTGNCCCCCCCAGACCCCCTCCTCTTTCTCTCCTGAAAAACTTTTGGCTGAAGAATGCAGCTGCTCCTTTTTCCTCGCCCCCCCCCCAGCACCCCTTCCTCAGCTGCAAGACCCTCCCCCTGCCCCCGGCGGACGGGGGGAGTACCTTTTCCCTCTCCTTAACTTATTTCTCTCCCGCCCGGCTCGGCGCTTCGGAACAAAAGAAGACCCCCTCGACTCAACCCGGGACTCCGCCGCCCCAGGTAGCTTCTTTCCCCGCGGCGCCAGCGGAGACCCTTCCCCACCACCCCCGTGGGGGGGGGGCTTTGGGCAGGGGGCGCGCGGGTCTCTCTCCTCTTTTTCTCCTCTTGGAGGAGGTGGGCTTGCAACTCTCTCTCGCCCCCTCCTCCCTTCCGTCCCCCAACTTTCTTTGTTCGCTTCTGACACGCGCGGAGTGGGGGGGATTCCCTCGCCTTGCCTCGATCCCTCCTGTCCTTTGCTCCGTCCGCAACCTTGGGTGGGGGGGAGGTGGAAGGAAGGGGTCCCGGGACCCCGCACTAAGCCCCCCCACCTCACTCCCCCGATCCTAGATTTCCAGGAGGGGCTTCCCCCACACAAGGCGGGGGTTTCTTCTTCTTCTTCTCCCCTCCAGAGAGCTCTTTCCACCCTCCCCTCCCTCCGCGCCCCCTCCCCACTTTCTTTGCCCCCGAACAAGGGCCCGTGTGTGTCCCCGCGGGAGACCCTGCCCGGCGGGCGCGGGAAGGCGGCGGGGATGATGGGGACGGGGGGCACCGCGCCCACCCATTCATTGGGCGGGGTGTCCCGAAGGGCCGGCTGGATCGGGCTGGGTCGGGGGCTTCCTTTCCCTCGACGGCCGAGGCCCCGCTCGCCTTGACCGGCCCGGGGAAGCCCGACCGGGAAGCTCGGCTCTTTGTTCCCCCGTCGGGTGGTCGCTTTCGCTCGCCCCCCGCCTCGCTTGGCTCCCTGAGCCGCCCCCGGCCCGCTCCGCAGGAGGGGCGGACAGTGGTAATTTTGGGCGCCCAGATTTTCAGGTTTTCCGACGGTTGTGAGAAAGGGAGACACAGACCCTTCTCCACCCCCTCACCGCCCCCCCCCGAGTTTCTTGGAAAGCCCGGGTGGGGGTCCCGGTGGGTTTCCCTCCGTTTCCCCATCTGCCTCCGCCCCACGTCACCTCGGGGATGCTCTGGCCGAGGGAGGAGGGGGGGAGAGAGAGAGACCGGGCGGTGTCGGGAGTTCCCTGCCGGTCCGGGACGATGGAGAACAGTTGGGGGCTGGGGGGGGGGAGGCACAAAGCGACTGCGGGTGTTGGCTGTGGGTCCCCCTACAAGGAGGTGGCCAAGGTTAGCATCTGCATGTCGCTAGAATTGGGGGGGGGGAGGAGAGCACACACACGTGTGTATGAGTGTGTGTGAGAGAGAGAGGGAGGGAGGGGGAGAAAGAAGGAAGGATGGAAGGAAGGAAGGAAAGAGAGGAATGAATGGATGGATGAAGGAAGGAAGGAAGGGAAAAGGGAGGGAGGAAGGGAGGAAGAAAGAGAGAGAAAGGAAAGAAAGAAGGAAGAATGAAAGAAAGAGAGGAGAAGAAAGGGAGAGGAGCGAGAAAGAAAGAGATAGGAAAGAAAGAAAGAGGGAGAGAGAAGGAAGAGGGAGGAAAGAAGGAAGGAAGAGAGAGAAGGAAGGAATTAAATTGAAAGGAAGGAGGGAAAGAGAAGGGATGGAGGGAGGAGGGAAGGAGGAGGAAGAGAAGAGATGGAGGGAGGAGGGAAGGAGGGGGAGAGAAAGAGAATGAGGGAGTTAGAATGAAGGAGGGAGGGAGGAGGAGAGAGAAAGGAAAGAAAGAAAGAGAGAGAAGGAAGAGGGAGGAAAGAAGGAAGGAAGAGAGAGAAGGAAGGAATTAAATTGAAAGGAAGGAGGGAAAGAGAAGGGATGGAGGGAGGAGGGAAGGAGGAGGAAGAGAAGAGATGGAGGGAGGAGGGAAGGAGGGGGAGAGAAAGAGAATGAGGGAGTTAGAATGAAGGAGGGAGGGAGGAGGAGAGAGAAAGGAAAGAAAGAAAGAGAGAGAAGGAAGAGGGAGGAAAGAAGGAAGGAAGGAGAGAGGGGGAAGGAAGGAACTAAAGTGAAAGGAAGGAGGGAAAGAGACGGGATGGAGGGAGGAGGGAAGGAGGAGGAAAGAGAATGAGGGAGTTAGAATGAAGGAGGGAGGGAGGAGGAGAGAGAAAGGAAAGAAAGAAAGAGGGAGAGAGAGAGAAGGAAGAGGGAAAGAAGGAACGAAGGAGAGAGGGAAGGAAGGAATTAAAGTGAAAGGAAGGAGGGAAAGAGAAGGGATGGAGGGAGGAGGGAAGGAGGAAGAGAAGGGATGGAGGGAGGAGGGGAGGAGAGAAAGAGAATGAGGGAGTTAGAATGAAGGAGGGAGGGAGAAAGAGAGAGAAAGGAAAGAAAGAAAGAGGGAGAGAGAGAGAAGGAAGAGGGAAAGAAGGAACGAAGGAGAGAGGGAAGGAAGGNGAAGGAAGGAGGGAGGGAGAGGGAGGAAGGAAGGAAGGAGAGGGGTAAAAGGGAGGGAGGAAGGAGAGGGAGGGAGGAAGAAAGAAGAGAAGGAAGGAGGGAGAGGGAGGAAGGAAAGGAAGGGAGGAGAGGGAAAGAAGGGAGGGAAGGCGGGAGGGAGGGAGGAAGGAAGGGGATTTTGCTTGCTTAGGGCCATTTTCCTTCCTTCCTTCCTTCCTTCCTTCCTTCCTTCCTTCCCTCTTTTCTTCCTTCCTTCCTTCCTTCCTCTTCAAAATCAACATTCCTTTTCTTGCCACCTCCCCTCCCTCCCTCCCCACCCCATCTGTCTCTCCTTCCCTCTCCCTCCCTCCCTCCCTCCTTCTGCCTGTTCCTTCCTTCCTTCTCCTCCTGGGCAGAGGAGCGATTGTGCCTGGGGGGCTTGTGCCTGGGGGGCTCCGTCCAAAGTCTTCCTAGGGAAGAAGAGGCTCCTCTCAGAAGGGAACCAGAAGGAGACAAGGGGGGCTTCTGCCGAGGGGGCTCCTCCTGGCTCTGGCCCTGCTCCAGGGGGAGGGGGACCCCCATATCCCATTCTCCTCGCAAAGGAAGGAGCGGGCAGGGAGGGGAGGGGGTGGGGAGGGGTGACATGAAAGGAAGAAGCCAGAGGGGAGAGCGGGGGAGACCCCAAAGACCCAGAGAGCCACTGAGATTCCAGGGGTGCAGACGTGAACCCCCTTGGCCACAGAGCCCACCTGAGCAGGGCGGGAGGGGCTTTGGGGCAGGAGAGGACCGTTCCATTCTCTGCGGTTGAGGGGGGGGGATCTGCAGCCTGGCGGTTTTCTGCCTCTTTTGTCGCCTCCCTCAATTCGGTCTGAGATTTCTTTCTTTCCTGCTATTATCCAGCCTGATTAACTCAACTAGGCCTGTCAACTTTTATTCCGCGGACTGGACAGATCTAGAAGGGAGCCTGTTAAAATGCATGAGTTTCTATCGCCTTCCTCTTTTCTGGCAGCACCCTGAAATACAGAAGGGAGGGAGGGAGGGAGGGAGNGGGCTGAGGCCTTCCTCCGGGGGAGGGGGAAAATCAATCGCAGCTCCTTTCCCCTTCCCAGAGAAGAGGGGGGGGGGGCATAGAAGGGGAGGGCGGAGGCCTGGGCCTTCCATCAACCAAACACAGCCCTCTTGGTCCAGGCTGCCCGGAAGGAGCATTTAGCCAAAGTGCCAGGCCTCCCACGAAGAAGGCCGGGACCTCCAGCGTCTGGGCTTGCCCAAAGACGTCTCCTCCTGGGCACCCACCAGTGCTTCCGCCACACATACACCCCGTCGCCTCCATGCCAGATGAGGGCACCACACGTGGCAGAGGAAAGCAGCTGCACTTTTGAGCCAAGGCCCCCCCCTGCAAGCAGCCATTTCTGCGCTCTGCGTACCGGCGGCCTTGTTGATGCGCTCCGTTTTCTCGGCCTCCGAAGCCAGGATCTGGGCCTGCTTATTCCCCTCCGCCACGTTGATGGCCGACTCTCGAATCCCTTCAGACTCCAAGACGGTGGCCCTCTTGCGCCTCTCGGCCTCCACCTGGGAGCAACGGGGCCTTTGAGTGGGGAGCCTCCTCGTCTCCCAGGTCAGGGCTGAGGGGGTTCATCTGTTGCTCCTTTTACAAGCCCTGAACCCCAAACCCTGTGCGGAGCCAAGCGATGCCAGGGAGCCCCTCCGTTTGGCACAGATGACCCACTTCGCCCTCATCCCAGCCACAGCTAGGCAGCCAGTGAGAGGAGGAGGAGGCGCATCAGAACGAAAAGTGCCAAGCACCAGGCGGCAGCAACTGGCAAGGGTGGTGCCGCCGCCGCCTGGGAAGTCTTCCTCTGCCCAGGAATGCCAGCCTGACCTGCATCTGCATGGACTCTTTCACTCGGGGGGGCACGTGGATGTCCTTGATTTCGTAGCGCAGGCACCGGATGCCCCAGTAGTCCGAGGCCTGGTTGATGGCATAGACAATGCTGGCATTGAGGGATTCCCGCTCCTGGAGGGGACAAGCGTGGAGTCAGCGAGCTCAGCAAGGGCAGAGCGTGAAGGCAGCCCCGGAGCCCATCCTGCCCCACTGCCCATTAGCCAGGGCCTTCCTTGGCCCAGCCCTGCTCGGGCCTAAGCCACCCTGCGGACCAGAGGCAGCCGGGGGGGCCATTAGGCAGGTGTAGGCTCTACAACCACCTCCTCGTCCCTCCACATTCATCAATCATAGCTGAGCAGCCCTTTGGCTTGTGCCTCCATAAGTTTTTTTTTCTCAAAGGAAAAGGCCATGTAGCTCTCTTCAACCACACCCCTTGCACCAACCAGCAGGTGGTTAATCTATTGACATAAAACCCTGGGGAGACAGACACCCCCGTCTCGTCCCGTGGCATCTTCAGCATACCTCGCTTAGCTGGCATGCTGCCATAAAATGCGAGAGATTGGGGAGGTATGACAGGAACCAGAACAGCTGCGAATCCAGAACAGCTGCTCAAGGATGGCTGCAATGCAAAACTCCACCAAAGAGGCACCAAACCTCAAAGCCCTTCCGAAAACATTTAATTCAAGCGTCTTTGGGCACCGATGGGCCAGTCGAGGGCCAGGGAAGAGGGAAAAGCAGAGGCTTTGGGTGGGAACAATTCAGATCATCCGGCTTCACTTTTGCTGTAATCGCTTTAGCTTTAGTAAAAGTAAACCTTTCACTTCACAAATGGGAGTCGAGGGTCTTCCTTTCCTAAATGCCCAAGTTGTGACAAGCCTGACACCCTGGTCTTCTCTTGCCCAGGGCACTTGAGCCCTTGTGATCTCTAGGCTGGAATACTGCAATGTGCTCTACATGGGGCTGCCCTTGAAGAGCATCCGGCGACT